CAAAGGCCTTGGCGAGGTCAATGAACACCACATCCACCGCATGTCCACTGTCTACGGCTTCAGCCCAGCTCTCACGAGCTACCAGCAAGTTCGTCTGACACGAAAATCCTTTGCGAAAACCATGTTGCTCGACGCAAAACAGGTTAAACCTATTTAAATGGTTCTCCACTGTATCTCGTACTAATTTTTCAAGTAACTTAACGACCACGCTAGTCAAGCTGACAGGCCTGTAATTAGCCGATAGGTCTGTCACCGCACTTGAAAATCGGACCGACAACAGCCTCCTTCCATTCGGTAGGCAAGATACAACTGTTGAGTGACTTCTGAAACACACAAGTCAGAGGTCCACTGAGTTCCACTGCCAATTCATGCTCCAAATTTTGGATGAACGGAATCCGGCTCGGAAGCCTTAGTTGGATTTACCTCTCTTAGCATGCGGAGAAATGGGGACTCAGTTACAGGAATTTCATTCAGACAACAGTCCTCAGAGACTCTTGAAGCTAACTCTGCATGGCGTATTTCTTTCGCGGGCAAAGACGCTTGAGTACTGTTTACCAAGCACGCATGCCTTGTCATAGTCGCTATAGGCATGGGTCCCATCTCTGTCAAGTTCAAGTTCAAGTTCAATTTGGACAGGAACGGTAGGAGAATTCCCATGTTTGTTCCTTCTTCAATACGTCGTTGAACCAGGATGGAGTTCGCGGGAGCGGTTTGGAGCCGAGAGGAGCCAAATCAATACACACGAATGACATAACGGTCAACCAATCAATGCCCACGCGGCCTGCACTAGCAGTCCCCACTGTACCGGCCACGTGAATAGAATAAAAGTTAAGAGAAGGGAACCAACAAAAACAAAATAATGGTAATTGTAGTACAGGAGAGAATGTGTGGTTAAGACAATAATAGTAATAGATGTGAGGAGCCAAGGAAATAGATGTAGAAGTTAAGAACTAAACGGAAAGGTCTGAAACTGTAACCCAAGGGCGTCGAGTCGATGTTCAAACTCCTTCACCGTTGGTGCTAACACTACTTCGCTGGGTAGTGCGTTCCATGAGTCGATGACCCTGCGTGACAACCGAACGTCAGCTCTAACGTGATCAGATCTAGGCTTATGCAACTTCAGAGGGTGACCACGAAGAGAGACTGTCCGGGAGAAAGTAAGAATTGCCTAGGAAATTCCCTATTTAAGCGATTAATCGATTATTAACGATTATTGCATCGATTTCGAACGTTCTTGAATGTGCTTCTTCTTCCTTGATTCCCAATCAAACCCGAAGTCGCTGGCCCCCCACAGGACAGGAAGAAGACGAATCGGACGAGCAGAGCAACAGGAATGAATTAGCAAATCACAGCGTTCATTATAAAGGTAAAATGGAAAGTTCGTGAATAGTATATTTAAAGCGACCATGGAAAGCTCTGGAAAGATTAACTCACAGCCAATGAAGGAACTTCAACCTAGCGTTCATTGGCCGTTTCTCCTGGTTGGCTTTCTGTTCGCCCCAATCAGGGCGGATGAGTTTGGATAGCCGGCCGAGGCGATGGGGTCCTGGCTTGTTCGACTCGTGTATTCCTTCCTAACACTCCCCCCTTTGAGTTATCTTGTAAGATTTCAGCTTGGGGTTGACTTGCATAGGTGACACAAATTTGCGTCGGCGCTTCGGCCTCTGTGCTGCTATGTTTGGGGCGAATGTTGTGCTTGCTGTGTTGGGGATTGTTGGAGAGTCTTCGCTTCACCGGCGTCGGCCAGGATGTCCAGAGGTAACTGCGTTGCTGGTACTTGTTCTTGCACTTGTTCCCCAGTCCCTTCTTCGAGCAGCTGATTAGCATGTCTTACCCAAACTGCCGTTCCAACCTGGATACCGTAGATCACGTTACCACATTCGTATAGTACATGGCCCATAGCCCATTTAGGATAGTGGGTGCGATAGTCTCTCGCCAGAACTTGTTGACCAACATTAAAGCTTCGCTTCCGAGCACCGTGTCGGATGTTGAATTATCACTCCATCTGATAGTTGCGTGACAGCAACTGATTGTTCCTGGGCCTGAGAGTGTCATGCGGCACACGGATTTTCCTTTGAAACAAAGTTTCAACCGGAGATAGGGCGTTCGGTGTCTGTGGATTCGGAGTTGTGCGATACGTCAGCCGAAATGTGTCAAGAATCTCCTCCAAGGTACCTTCCCCCTTCATCTTTAGCAAAGCTCTTTTGAGGGTATCCACAAATCGTTCCGCTTGCCCGTTCGATTGTGGGTGGAAAGGTGGAGACCTTACGTAGACGGTCGCGTTTCTTCGACAGAAGACGACAAATTCAGATGAAGTAAATTGTGTTCCATTATCCGAAACCAACGTTTGGGGAACGCCGAAACGAGAAAACATCTGTCGGAGAGCGGAGACAGTGGCTGCTGCTGTGGTTCTCACCATTGGAATCACCTCCGGCCATTTACTGTGTGCATCGACAACAATGAGAAAATGGTGACCATCAATTGGACCTGCAAAGTCAACGTGTACCATTGACCATGGTTCCGTTGGTATTCGCCAGGATTGCAATTCCGTCTTCCTTGGTTGTTTTGATACACTAGCACATCGGGGACAATTCTTGGTTAAATTCTCGATCTGGGAATCCATATAGGGCCAATACACATAGCTTCGTACCAGCGATTTCATGCGATTCATTCCCGGGTGGCCAGTATGAAATTGTCGGTGGACTCTCTCTTGAAGGATGTGTGAAATGACGACGCGATCTGAGAACAGCAGGCAGTTTCTGACGACTGATAGTGCTTCCTTCCGTTGGTGGAATTGTTGAAGCTCCGGCGTTGTAACTCTCTTGGGCCAGCCATTGAGGTGGAAATCAATCACTTGTTGTAGGGTAGAATCATGATGTGTCGCTTCCTGCACCATTTCGAATGTTACTGGTAAAACACTGAAAATGTTAGACACAACTTGATGTGCTTGGGGTTCTACGGAGATTTGAGCAACTACCACATCCTCTGGTTCTTGATGCTGTGTACCAATTAAACGAGGTAACGCATCTGCTTGACCAATGTTGTGTGTAGATTGATATTTGACGGCGAAATCGTAACCAAGTAGAACAGTTGCCCAGCGTTGGAGACGACTGGCCGTGCAGACCGGAATGCCTTTCTTTGATCCAAAGATTGCGACCAAGGGTTTGTGGTCAGTAAACAGCGTGAATTTTCGTCCGTAGAGCATTTTGTGAAATCGCTTGACTGCAAACACTATGGCTAAAGCTTCTTTCTCGATTTGTCCATAGTTACGTTCCGCTGGGGTGAGTGATCTGGCCGCATGCGCCACAGCTTTCTCCGAACCATTGGGGAAAATGTGGGATATGACTGCTCCAATTCCGTAGTCTGACGCATCAGCAGCAACTACGATCTCCAGCTCCGGATTGAAATGCGTTAGCAGTAGGTCAGAACACAATATAGACTTGACATTATCAAATGCAGCTTGACACTCAAGAGACCTCACAAATTTGCGATCCTTTACCAGCAGTTCATTGAGCGGTCCTCGTAGCCGATGCATTTCGGACACAAAAGAGCTGTAATGACTGATCAACCCCAAGAATGATCTGAGCTTCGCGACATTGTCAGGGGGAGGTATCTGTCTCATGGCGCTTATGTTGGAAGGATCCGGACGGCGGCCATCCTTGTCGACGATGAAGCCAAGATACTTTACACACTTCATGCCGGTATTGCACTTTTCTGCTTTCAATTGGAAACCGTAGTCGTTAACGCGGTGGAGAACTGCTTCCAGTCTTTCCGTCAGCTCTCGGAAAGTAGCCCCTTTGATTATGATGTCGTCCAAGTAAGCTGCGAGTCCTGATAACCCAGCTAACATGGTATCCATAATTTGTTGGAAAATCGCGGGAGCTGATTTGACACCAAACGGCAAACGGTTGAACTGGTATAAACGATGCGTATTGATTGCCAGCAATTCCTTCGAAGCATCATCGACTTCAATTTGAAGATAAGCATCTGATAAATCTAGCTTTGCAAAGTAAACGCCACCACTGAGCTTAGCAAATAAATCTTCTGGGACTGGCAAAGGATACTGGTGCATTTTCAAAGCAGAATTCAATCCCGTAGAGTAGTCAGCACAGATACGAACGGCTCCGTTGGTCATCTTGACGACAACAATAGGTGCTGCCCACGCTGAATAGTTCACAGGTTGGATGACGCCTGCCCGCTCCAAACTATCAAGTTCCGCATCAACAATCGGCAGCGCAGCGTACGGT